TGTTCATGACATCCAACATTCTCATTAATTATAATTTTCATTGTTCATTTAGTCAAATTTTAAAAACTGAACCATCAACAATCATTCTGTAGTATATAACGGGTCCAGTATAAATCAATAAATTGCACGTCCTATTAGTGGAAATCTAATATTTGATATGTCAAAGTAAATAAATAGCGAACGCTTCGAACCAACTCGAAACTGCTGTTGCAGATACACAAAAAGTTTTATTCTCCTGTTAATTTTATAGCGCAGCGAAGTACTCTTTGTTGTCCATCCCATTTCAAGTTTAATCTTTATATATCAAGTGTTTTTCTGCTCTATAAATTTATACAGGATATAAAAACAGGAGATACGATTATATTTTAAATGAAAGGTTTACATGGAGATGGCAGTAAAAAAAGGTTGTTGTGTTATATATATTTGTACAGTCGGTAGTATTTTTGCTACTGTTAAAAAGTTGATTTTGTGAGAAAAAATGTTCAATCATATTTACAGTTATTTAAAATGTTTAAAAATGGTAAGTTTCTGTTTTGTACATTTGTTCAACTGTTGCTCAATAATAATGTAGCTCAGGTTTTATTTCTACTTGCTTTCAGCATTTCTAATAAATTTGGCTTTATGTTTTCGTCGTAGATCGTAAATCTCTAACCTTATTGTCCTTTTACAACTTTGTACCAAACCACTGCAACTGCATTTCCTGTAATGTGGTCGTATTGCTTTAACTTTTCCTTGCTTATGTACCAGGAGGTCAAGGAACAAAGTTATTTCTACCAGATTATTTTAAAAATAAAATTTTCGGCGAGATTGATCAGCTTCAGTCTATAACTTTTACGAATTTCTTCTTTTAGCTGTACTTTAAAGCTTATTTTTCCAACATTTGTTGACACAAATCTGAAAAATTGAGCACTTTTGGGGAGAGAATTAAAATGATGTGCAACTTCACTTCTACAAAATTACAAAATTATTTCCGGAGAAGAATTTACGACCGACGATGTGGAAACATGAGGTAATACTTTTTTTTGCTCACATTTCAGCCCATACATTAAAAAAGTATCACCTATTTTCTATTCGATTGAGCAATAAAACTGCGGACGCGTTTTCAAGCCGATAAGAAATATACGGCGTATTTTTTTACGGTCGCTTAGGAAGGTGCGTATAAAATACACTGGGAGGGCCGATAAGGACGAAGGAAAGCAGAAAGCAGTCGCTGTATCGTACACAAAACACGCTTCGAGATTTATATTCATCGAATGCCTCCTAACTATGTACTCTTTTAAGAATAACGCCAGTTTCTTAGTCTTTGGAAAGTTAAGCTAAACAGTTCCCGAGCAGTTAGATCGCGCTCTCCATGTAAATTCGGGTCCCGGAGACTTCAGAGTATCGTGATCAAACTGGCAAGTCGAACCCTCGAGCTCCGATATAAGTAATGTGTAACGGCGGTGCCTTGTTTACTGTAATTTGCAAGAGGGGCGTCGTTCCTTTCATCTGGTGTTTTTAAGGAGAAAAAAAAGTTTTTATTGCGGTCTGTTCTTTTTAGAGACAAAAATCACCAGTTTCCACTCGTATATGCGAGAATAGTAAATTTTCACAACTTGAAATAAATAAATAAACTAAAACAAACAATTTTGCCTTGCTTCACCATAAATTAAAAGGATATTCATCAATTCCGAGTTGCTATACACGCAGGCCATTTTTGACACTAACCACTAAAAAACTATTGTAACCATTATCGCAACGACGATTGTTAAATCGGATTTCCGTATTCCGGGTCGCTGTATGCTGTACTACAACTTCAATAATTTTTTTCTCGGAAACTTTAAGGAGTTTACAAACATTTTTTTATGATATTGACTCCATTTCTCATGCCGCATCTATTCCCAAATTTTTTCGAATAAGTTGTGAATCACCCTGTATATTTCAATGTATAGCTGTAACTGTGATAAAGGCACCCAATAAACTTCAATTAAAGTACTACGTGATCTGCGTGAGTGTTTTGAGAGTACATTATCTGAATTTCCTCTCCATATACATTGTGTTATAGGAATTCCAATTTGTTAAGCTAAACTGTCGGATATAGAAAAACAAAGGAATAAATTTGGAGATAAGAACGAGATGAAAAGAAATATGTGTCCAGTGGCGTACTAGAATGCGATTAATATCACCAAAAATAGAAAATGAATAATGATGCACTCAAAAATAAAGTGAAATGGCTTACGTAATAATTATAAACAGTATGTTTATGATTCATAATTTGTACTCATCCTAGATATACATATATGATATTATGTATCAATAGCAAAGAAGTAGTCCAAGATGGGTACAAGTCCATACTTTTGAAAAATCATATTTCTGCAGATATATGTTTAAGAATGTACTGTTTTCGTTTGGTACAAATATGGAATCTGTGGGCTTAATAAAAACAGAAGATATAACCTAGAAAGTATGTCATAAGTTGATTTCTCAATAGTATTACAATCAATTTAAACTTTTACAATCTTTTAAAAAATATACTAGAAACAATATGTAAGGAACAAAATTTGACACTACACCTGCACAAATTACATTAAGAAAAAAAAACGGAGAATAACCAATATTTGGTTACTGTCGGACCAAACAGAGCCCAAAGCATAGTAAATATGCGCTACTTCCACTTCATCTTTCACTGCTGCGAGACGGTAACCTTGACCACCGTTGTAAACACTTTACAGATGTAGACAAGTATTCAGAGTTTTGCAAACGAATATTGCAAGTCGAGTTAAACTAGCTGCACAACCTTTTTAATGTGTTTCATAAAGCTAATCTATTTAATAATGTAGATAATATTGTAAATTAATTTTTTTTACTATGAAAACTTCTAAGGGGTACTGCAGACGAAAGATATTTACTAGATACTGTTCAGTGCTGAACCGGACTGAAGTCTACAGAGTTGTCCACAATATCATTATATAAAATCTCTTATTCTTTGTTGACTGGTGTAATAATAATAATAATGGCATAAGTTATCGGGTTCTGGCCATTTGTTTGTCAAATATTATGTTACAACCGCGATATCTAACAAATAGTATGGGCATTTGTCAGTAGGGGTCACAGAGAATATGTTTCCCACAATATCAATATTTTTTATGTATTTCTCTCAGTGTGACACTACTTTTCATAGTACCTACAGATTAGTAGGGCGCTCTCTGTCAGCAATGCGTTGAGTAGCAATAAAAATTAAGATAAAACTCATATACATATTGTACCTTGTCGAATTTCAAGAAATAACTAAAAAAAAAAACGATTATTATTTCTGCTGAACAATTTATATTATTATGTTATGATTAGATGAAAAAGGTTTATATTTAAATCTTATATTAAGTTATGTTAGTGAATTTTTTATTTTTGATGTTTTAATGTTTAAATTTGAATTTGAATTTGTTTTTACTGAGAGTAGAGCTGACTCAACTTCAGGTTGTGGTTTCCTGTAATTTTATTGTGTTTAATTTGATGATTTGCTTAAAGTAATTTAAAAAGAAAGATGTTTTTATAATTTTACAAGTATGGATTATGTATTACGATTTTTATATGTAACTGTAATGTTATAATTGACAAAATTTTAAACTTAGACTAAATAAAACAATTACATACATAGAATTTCCATTTTAATCTAATTTTATTTGATGATTTGCTTAAAGTAATTTAAAAAGAAAGATGTTTTTATAATTTTACAAGTATGGATTATGTATTACGATTTTTATATGTAACTGTAATGTTATAATTGACAAAATTTTAAACTTAGACTAAATAAAACAATTACATACATAGAATTCCCATTTTAATCTAATTTTATTTGTATGCAACTCACAATGCGTGAGTCATGATGTCATTATGTTGGTTTCCTGTGACTGACGTTTCACTTTCAGATAGCTGGATAGGTAATTTCCACAAACTTATTGATTTTTATTGATATTCCAGGTCCATTATTTTAGGTACTAAACTGACGATGTTACTGTTTTGGAAATTTATGAGAGACTATCCACTTTGAGCTCGATTTTTGCTTTTATTGAAATGAAAACAATTGAAGTGTTACCATGGAAATGTCAACTAAACTTTTGAGAATTTTTTATTTTCGAAATACTGACTTTATGCATGTTTTAATCTGCATGATCTTTACACATTTAGATTCTTTAGATTTTTCTGCATTTTTTTGATACCAATATCTTCTTTCTAGGTTAATTTTCAAACTCTAACCAAATTTTACTTAATTTTGAAAATTCTAGCTAAATTAAGCTATGCATTTTAAATTTTCTAACTGTAAGTTCATTCATTGTCTTTAATAATTCCCCCTTTTCAATTTTGTAACAGCCCTTTACTGTTTTTTGAAACCTAACTATTGAAAAGTTTCAGGTTAATCGATTCGTCGAGAACTTTTAAAATTTACACACAAATTTGAACTTGGCTTGGAATCTCAATACAGTTTTTGATGTTATGAGTGCATTTCATCCACTATTTAATGTATAAATTTAGTTTTGATCATAATTTTGACAGTTGAGACGTTTCATAGAACGATTTTAAAACTTATACTACTACAAACTTATTTTACATACAAAAATATCCTTTATTTTAACTTTTACTGTGATTCACACCCCTTTTATGTCAGTTTTTTCTATATTACAATTAATTATTTCTATTTATTTCAAAATGTTTATATGTTGGTCCCTTTTTTTATACGTTTTAAGTTTTCATGGGAACAAATCATAACAATATGTTATTATTCGCCCCTTCCAACTGCAATAAACGGAGACTATGGGTCGCCTACACATAAAGTATGTAATAACAGAACAAAAACGTTAAAACCGGGATATTACACCAGGAAGCATCGCCCATTAAGCACACAGAAACGTATTTATACGGCATGCCCATATTGCACCCCTGAAAACTCGATTCAAACTCACAATGAGTCACCACGAATTTCCATTATTGCGTTATTTGCGTATGTACTATGTATATTCACTCACCCGTCGGGTAAATTAGGACAACGGGCCTTTTGTTATGATGACTGGCGTGTCCTGTGGATGCCACGTTGTTTATGCTCTCCTGCTGTCCAGACATCGTGATCCGGGTTAGTCCTGCAATGCAGATATCTGGAAAGACAGAAAAAAAATATTAACTGAAATGTATGCCGACCATTACCACAAATAGTGCGGTCGTATGTTTAAGTACAATGAAGGGCAACTTAAAGTCCCCACTAGTTGGATCGCTCTCATTCTCTTGCGCGTCACTTCAAATAATTAGGTATGTTTCGGACTGGGAGTGTTGTTTGGAAATATACACCGTGGCACCAAAAACTGTTGTATTCAATAGGGTGAATAATAATTAATCCGATAACAGTTGCATTTGATATTTTAAAATATATTATTTTATTAATGATATGTTAACATTTCGTAGTTAGTTAAATAAGAATATTGAATTATTTGTTTTAAATAAAATATTATATAAAAACTATTTACTTTTTTAATTATTGTTCGCAACATTCAATACCTGCATATTTAAAGTTTTTTTTCCATTACTAGAAATATTCATACAGGGCGGGCCAATAGTGATAATATTATTCCTATTCCATACAGATAGAGAATAATTTTTAGGCGCCTTAAGGGGGACATTTTTAAAATAGTATGAAGTATACGGGGTGATTCCGAAGGCCGCATCAAACATGGTTTTTAAACGCGCGCAATGACCCGATTTTTTATATTTCATATTTTAATCATGATAATAATGAAATAATGATGGAACAGTAAACAATCTTCATTTTGATTCTGTGTTTTATATACAAAATCTTTCAGACAAAATAACTAATGTTTTCGGGAATGAATCAAACATATACCTAAATTGCAAATGAAAATATAAAATTTATTAATAATGTATACACTATAAACGTAAAAGGTAAAGATGAT